GGGGGGCGGTAGTCGCTGGTTCCCTGGACCACGTCTAGGGACTCTATGTCCTTGAGCGCACCTCAGTTCTGGGGACACTTGTGCCTGGGTTTTGGGTAGGGCTTAAGCGATCAAATTCAGGCTGAAGGTGGGAGGGGACGATCAGTTATGAGTCCTGGGAGGAGGGAGAGCTATGGGTTCGAACCCGTGGGTTGCTGAAGGGCGCGGGTACACAGAACGGAGGAGATTAGCACAAGCATTTAAAAAAATTTATTTTATGTGTATGAGTGTTCAGCCTGCATGTATGCATGTGCACCACGTGTATGCCGAAATTGACCCTGCCCCTTTAGGACCTGTTAAGACAGAGTGCAGTTGGGGGGACAATCCCTCTGCCTAGTGCACAGTCATGTCTTCACTCATATGAACAAAGACACTGGGCCATGGTTCTCATTTTCATTTTATACATATCTCGAAGAAGGGGGGCTGGGAGTGGGAGGAGGGGTGCAGTGTGTGGGGGATGAAGATGCTGTAGTGCGTCTTTTCTCTGTATCTTTTTTTGTCTTTTTGAGACAGGGTCTCCCTGTAGCCCCAGCTGTCCTGGAACTCACCATGTAGACCAAGCTGGCCTTGAACTCACAGAGATCCGCCTGCCTCTGCCTCCCAAGTGCTGGGACTACAGGAGTGCGCCACCATGCCCACCTCCATTTTTTTTTTTAAATGTGTATGCATGTATTGCCTGCATGTAGGCAAGCACACCTGTGTCATGCAAAGCCTATGGAGGACAGAAGAGACTGTCGGATTCCCTGGAACTGGAGTTAAGGACAGTTGTTACCTGCCATGTGGGTGCTGGGATTTGAACCCGGGTCTTCTGCAAGAACAGTCAGTATTCTTTTTTTTGCATATTTTATTTATTATTTTATGAGTACAAGTGTATTGCCTGTATGTGAGTGCACCCGTGTAGTGCAATGCCTTGGAGGTCAGAAGAGGGCCTTGAATTCCCCTGGAACTGGAGTTAAGAACCGTTTGTAGCTGCCATGTGGGTGCTGGGAATGGAACCCAGGTCCTCTGGAAGAGCAGTCAGTGCTCATAACCACTGAGACATCTCTCCAGCCCCAACAGTGTTCTTAACCGCTGAGCCATCTCTCCAGCCCTTTCTCTGTATCTTTTAAAAATATTTTATTATTTTAGCTTTTATTTTTATGTGTACGAGTGTATTGCCTGCATGTGTGTCATGCAGTGTCCGAGGAAGTCAGAAGAGGGAGTCAGATTCCCCTGAAACTGGAGTTAGAAAGGTTGTTAGCTGCCATTTGGATGCTGGGAACCAAATTCAGGTTCTCTGCAAGTGCAGCCAGTGCTTTTAACCTCTGTGCCATCTCTCGGCTCTCACATATCTTAATAATATTTTTGTTTTGAGTCAGGGCCTTACTATGTAGCCCTGGCTGGCATGGAACTCATTATGTAGACCCACCCATCCCCCATCCCCCATTCCCCCCCCCCAAGGAGGCTGACTTCCCACTGATAATTCTCACCCTCACACCTTCCTGACTGCATTTCTCTCTCCCCTGGATCCCCATCCTGTAACTCTTCAGTTATCCACCTGTGCCAGGGATTCTTCCTTGATCCCTATCCGGGAGGGAGCTCTTCCTGCGATATAATTGCCCTTGATGTATCCTAGACCCAGTCAGAGCACCCACCATGACACCTAGGGTGCTTAGCTCCCTGCCAGGCAGTGAAGGTATCCCAGACACCAAGGTGCTAGTCATGGGCACAAGATTTTGTTGACAGCCTAAGGAAGATACTGTGTGTCTTTCCTGGGGAGTCATGAACAACTGTCTATTCACCCCAGAGATAGGGTACCAACAACAGACCAAAGAATTGATTCCACCCACGTCTAGTGAACCAATGAGTTAATTTGGCTTATGTACAGAAGTATAGATGAGGGGTTACTTACAGGTGCATGGATGATTCAAGGGCAGCTGCATCATCAGAAAGCCCACCCCTGCATGGGTGGTAACTCCTGAAAGCTGCATCCCTGGAGCCACCTGCCCAACTTGCAGGCAGCTCTACCAGAGAGTCTCTTTTTACTGCTTATGTAACCTTGTGGACTGACATCGTGAATCTTGGAATTTTCATTAAGTTTTCTGAGTCTTGTGAGTTTCCTTAACTCTCTGAGTCTTGGAAGTCTCCCTTGCAAGGAAGAATGTTTCAGTTGAGAGGAAATACCTATGCAAAGGAAAGGCTTGTGCTGGTAGAGCCCAGGAAGTATCCAGAGAGGCCATTTGTAGCCTGCAAAGTCCACACAGTTTGGGAACCTTGACCATCTGGATAAGTTTCATGGGCAGCTTATGTTAAAGGAATTGGTCACACTGGGACAGTGGGGAGGAGGGTGAGGGTGGAGTGGGGGTGGGGGGTAGGGACCAGGCCTGTGAGTCAGGACCTAGTGTCTAGTGGAAGGTCAAGTGAGCCAACATTACCACTGAAGACCTCACAGAGCCTCTGCTAGCTGGTGTCAGAAGGTGGAAGGTACATAATGGGTGAGTCTGCCCCAACTCCAGCCATTGAGAATTCATTCACAGGCTATATGTGCCACTACATGGGAGTCCTCCAATGTGTCCATGCCTGGTCCTCTGAACAGTTCTCAGGGCAGCCCCAGGGCTTACCATCCATCTGCAGAGGAAAAAGAGTCAGGGTTGGGGTTGAAGAGCTTAAACTTGCTATGCCACATAGACACCCCCCCCCATGTCCCAAATGAGCTTTGGGGCTTGGGGCTTTAGGGAACTTCAGTTTATTTGTGTATAAAACTGAAGAATAAGGGTATCCACAACAGGGGCTGGAGAGATGGCTCAGCAGTTAAGAGCTCTGGCTGCTCTTACACAGGACCTGGGATTCAGTTCCCAGAACCCACATGACAGCTAACAACTGTCCCTAACTCCAGTTCCAGAATATTTGATGCCCTCTTTTGGCCTCTGTGGGCAGTCCATGCTATGGGTACACTTACATAAAGGCAGGCAAAATACTTGTACATATAGAATAAAAATAAATAAAATTTAAAAATTAAAAAAGAGGTTGGGCATGGTGGTACACGCCTTTAATCCCACCACTCAGGAGGCAGAGGCAGGCAGATCTCTGTGAGTTTGAGGCCAGCCTGGTCTACATAGTGAGTGCCAGGCTAGCTGGTGCTACAGGGAGATCCTGTCTCAAAAAGACCAGAAAAAAAAAAAAGATTGAAAAGCTTACTTCAAAGGGTTTTTGGCAGAATCTCATCGTTTTAAGATATGGTTTTATGCCAGGCGTGGTGGCACATGCCTTTAGTCCCAGCACTTGGGAGGCAGAGGTAGGCAGATCTCCAGATCTCTGTGAGTTTGAGGCCAGCCTGGTCTACATAGTGAGTGCCAGGCTAGCTGGTGCTACAGGGAGACCCTGTCTCAAAAACACCAAAAAAAAAAAAAAAAAAAAAAAAAGATAAGGTTTTACTTTATAGTCCCAGCTAATCTAGAACTCCCTATGTAGGCCAGGTTGGCCTCCAACTTACAATGATCCCTCCGGTCCCCATCACCCAAGTACTGAGATTGTGAGTCTGAGCCACTACGCCTGCCCATCACCCAAGTACTGAGATTGTGGGTCTGAGCCACCATGCCTGGCTCAGTACTGGGTAAGTGGCTTATGATCCCAGCCATGATCAGCCAAATACTGATTAACTCATGGGTACATGAGTGAGGAAGTTGGTTGGGGTAAGATGCTAAGATTCTGGAGTTGTTTGTCATGCGGCATTAACTGACTGATTCAGTTGCTGTGAGAATTTAATAAGACAATGTGGGACTGGAGAGATGGTTCAGTGGTTAAGAGCACTGGTTGTTCTTGCAGAGGATCCAAGTTCAATTCCAACACCCACATGGTGGCTAACTCCAGTTCCAGGGGATCTGACACCCTCTTCTGATCTTCAAGAGCACTGTGTAACACAGGTGCACTCACATACATGCAGGCAATACACTCAAACACATAAATAAAAATAATAAAATATTAAAAAAGAATTTAATGAGACAATGAAAGGTGCTTACAGTTATTTAATGAGCAAACCTTTTATTTATTTATGGGGATGTGTGCATACATGCCATGGTGCTAGTGTGGGGGGTCAAAGGACAACTTGTGGGAGTTGGTTTTCTCTACCATGTTGGTCCTGGGGATCGAACTCAGGTCATCAGGCTTACTAGCAAGCACCTTTCTCCACTGAGCCATCTCACACACACCTGAACAAATCTTGAATGACTGATTCTCTTCAATCCTATATGGTAGATGATACATATACAATATAAATAATAACCACTGTAATTTTTGGCAGTGCTAGAGATTAAATCCAGGGCCTGTCAGGCAAGTGCTCTATCCTCAGCCACATCCTCAGCCTCTAGTACTACTCAGCCACGGCTATGTTATAGGATGCTTAGATCTTATATCCTTGGGTCATTTTATAAACTCTGTGGGACAGACATGCCCATTTAACATATAGAGAAAACCGAGGCACTTCCAAGAGAAATGCGGGGGTCTGGGGGCACAACAGGCACTTACTGGGATGAGGAGGGCAATCCAGCAATCCTGCTGCTGGTGGTGCCCAGGGAGCTTGAGGGGTATGCTAAGTGTCCTGGCCCCACTGTAGGCCTCACTGAAGCTGGGGCAGTGTGAACAGGACGTGGGGTCCCATAGTCACTCAAGCATCTCCTAACTTCCACGGAGGCTGCACCTGCACCTGAGTGTGCCTCCCACCCGCATCCCAGTGCCACCGCAGGATTGTGTAGCCACCCATATGGCAGCTAACAACCGTCTTTAACTACAGTTTAAGGGGATCTGACGCCCTTTTCTGACCTCTGAGGGCATTGCA